TAGTTACCTACATCAGTTAGCTTTAACAGTCCGTGACAATACCCTCTGCTACACTCTTGACCTCTTCTATACCGCAGTCTCCACGATCAGTAGATAAAATCGCAGTTGACGACAGTCGACCTCATAGTTCACTTGATAAAATTGACGTGTAAAAGTGCTGCCTTGTAGCCTAATTGCAGAAATAAATTCACTTGTTTCACTTGTTTAAAAGGTTCAGGGTGCTTACACTTGAAACCAATCTCATTGTCAATGCGTTTCCAATCCAATAATTATGCAATGCCTTACCTATACAACCCCTATTGTAACTGTTGAAATAGCATTTAGAGTACGGAATATAAAACTAAACTCAATACTATTTAGTTCATTATATATCCACGCATTACGGATGCATTTATGATTACGGGCGCTAGTGTTGCAAAATTCATAAGAGTACTAAATTTTACAATACCAATGTTGATTCAATGATAAGCCCTGGTTTATCAGAAAGCGCTGCCGTCCCGTCTCTGTTAAACGTACAGGCATGTCTGTTACTTACATAGTCGGCTTCTATGACAACCACAGAAAGAATCAGGGTGTTGACAAGTACATTCTACTCTACGGTCACCATACAAATCACTTCATAGTTAAATTAGATTCAAAGTGTTAAGTCGCTCAAAACACGTAACCTTGTGGCCGCAATGTCGCACCTCGGGCCAAGAACTGGATTGCGTGTTACACCACATTATTACAAACAATTATTATTTCTTTCGATAATATTTAGATTAAGTTGCTGTGTGTGAGTAAATGCCCTCGATTTTACACTTTTGGACTAGTTAAAGGAAGTTAAAGAAATAGTTCTAAGAAAGCTTATCTTTATTGGCCACTGAAAGGCAAATTAGTAGGTTCAAGGAGGTCGGTACCAATTTATGCGTGAATTTTACATTAAAACAACACTGCGACGCATTTTCCTACAAGTTTCCTTGAGGTTACAACGGTAGGAAGTTGTCAAACCAATGTTTGCGGAAACGATGTCGCAGTAGACATATGAATTGCGTGTTTATGAATTTGAAACCGATGTCCATCACCAGCGGTTTTGTGACCGATATTTAACACATTTAGTGTAAACATCACAAGTGGACTGACGAAAACAATCGTGACTAAAATATTTTGTTACAATGTGCTAAGTCACTGTATTAGCCAATCAATAGTCAAACATTGAACATATTATTATGATACGACAAACTAAGAATAAGGCTAGTGAATTCATAGCTATGCAAAGAACAGGCTGTGTCATGATTAGTTAAAATAAAATTGGATTAAAATACTGCGGCGGGTCACAATTCGGTCAGTTGAAGCTTTTGTCCGTTAGGTGGCGGTACCTATTAAGTCCTTACAAACGCTTGTAAAATTGCCCTCGTCCTTGGATTTAGAACCACGCCTTCGTGACGTCTATTCTGGTAATACCACGCAGGTATAAAAGGGTATTTAAAGGAATCTTGATTTATTCTTTTGTGTTTCAATAGCGCATTATTTTTCCAAAATGTCTGCCGTTTTAACCCTCATAATTTCCCCGAAATGTGTCAACCCTTGTACTTCCAAACCTTAGTATCTTAACTTTAATTTACTGACAGACAAGGACGGACAATTAATTTTTTTACGTCAAAAACTGCCTAATTAAAGATTAATTGAAATAAATGCCTTGACTTTGACTTTAGCCCAATAGGTCTAGAATTTAGATGTCGTTGTTTTACTGGAACGAAGATACATACAGTAAAGTAGTGACTGTAATGTTGTATGTATAACTAAAGAAGTAGGTACAACCGGTACAATACAATAATATGATTTAATAATTTAATTGTCAATTTTATTGTGAATTAATGGTTATGACCTTGTTACATCTAAGGTGATGAAAGAACTCCCTCACAAAGCAATAACCCTATTAACAGCTATTTATAACTCAATCTTAAGATATGAATACGTCCCTGCTCAATGGAAAGTAGCAGAAATTATTGTCATTCCAAAACCTGGGAAGGATCCGGAAAATGTATCATCATATCGACCGATAAGTCTCCTGCCTGTTGCCTCAAAAATAATGGAAATTCTTATCTTAAAACGACTGACTCCAGAGCTTGAGAAGGCCAAATTAATCCCTACTCATCAGTTTGGCTTTCGCAAAGCTCATGGGACAATTGAACAGGTACATCGTTTGGTTGAAAAGATAAACCATGCCTTTGAAAACCAGAAATACTGTTCAGCGGCATTCTTAGACATATCGCAAGCCTTCGATCGTGTGTGGCACGAGGGACTCTTATTTAAAATCCTACAAGCCTTACCAGTCAACATCTATCTCATCATCAAATCATACCTCCAACAACGACACTTCTATGTAAAACATGGAGAAGCCAGAAGTAATCTTTATAAAATCCAAGCAGGTGTTCCTCAGGGCAGCGTAATGGGTCCTATCTTATACCTAATATATACTTTTGACCTACCAACTTCCGACGAGGTCCTCGTAGGGACATTCGCTGATGATACTGCTCTTATTGCTGCACACGACTGTCCCGTGGCAGCGTCCGACATGCTGCAAAAAAGCCTTAATGACGTTTCGGCCTGGTTAAAGGATTGGAGAATAAAAGCTAATGAATCCAAATCTGTACACGTAACTTTCACTCTCAGACATGCATCATGTCCCCCAGTTGTTTTCAATGGCATAACAATTCCTCAGCTGGACGACGTGCGATACTTGGGAATATACTTGGACAAACGATTAACTTGGAAGAAGCATATATTCACTAAAAGGAAAGCTCTAAGTACACAACTTCAAAATCTGTACGGGCTCATGGCACGAAAGTCAAACCTGTCACTAAGCAACAAACTTCTCCTCTACAAAGCTATATTAAAACCAACATGGTCATATGGAGCAGAACTCTGGGGAACGGCAGCCAACACAAACTTGGACATTTTACAACGCTTCCAATCAAAAATGCTTCGAATGATTGCTAATGCCCCATGGTATATAAGTAATACCCAATTACACCGAGACTTAAAAATAAGACCAGTGAAGGAGGAAGTCATAAGTAAACTGAAGTCGTATTCTCGTCGCGTCATAAGGAGTCACCCCAACAAGCTTGCTAGTGAGCTTATGAAGTCTGCCAGCACCTTTAAGCGCATCAAAAGGAGAGCTCCACAGGACCTACTCCTGTCTCAGCAAAAACATCCAACTTGAGGGATGCAATAATTGAAGACGGGTACACCACTGGGCGTTCTCCGTACATGTCACAATACATGAACCTCTTAACCACCAGTTAAATGCCCAACTGGGCAGATTGCAGGGAAATAAGGAGATTAAAAAAAAATATTGTGTAATTAACAGCTACATTGGCCATTATTCAAATAATTCTCAGTAATAATCTGACAAAGTGACAATCTTCTAAAGTATCTACATCATTTTATGAGTGATTTATTATAATCCTCACGTTTTTACAATCGATGACTCACACATTGTTTATCAAATTAAATATTTTATTTATCCTTCTTGCTTGACCCGTAACGCGCACCTTCCAAGGTAACAAACTTTATGGTAAGCAAACATTCTTTAATTATTTGTGAGTTTTGCGGTTGCCGCCAAATTAATCATTGATATTGACTACAGATATATTAAAGAAGATATCGACAATACTTCACCAACTTTTAATTCGGTTCAAAACTTGTAAATGCGACGTTTATAATTTAATTGGGTTTTTTTTCTAATATTTTGAATACTATAATTTATTCAAAAAAATCCTTAATGGCGCTAAAGTGTAGATCCCATATAGTGTTATGACTATGACGTCAAACCTTGGTTTTACCATGTACAAAATATAATCAATTTTTTTGAATACGGCGCCTGTTGTCCAATAAAAAACTACCTTCATAACTATATTATACGCGGGACATATACGCGGGACGTACCATGTACCAGTATAGATACTAGTGATACTACAGAGCAACGCCTACCTACTGCATAGGAAGATCCATACAATTTATGTATTGTGCGCGCGAAACTAGTTGGCCGCGCTTTAGGTATGTGACGCCACCAAAAGCGCGACCAACTAGTTCCGCGCGCACTATAGATTGCTGGAAATATTCATTCATCTAGTCATAAAAGTACTCCCGAGAAAAGTGTTCTGCATCTAGTCAAAAATACCTCTTGTCCAAGAATAACACAATTATTCAATTAGTCACTTAGTGGATAATAATGTTTTGTCTTGAGCTCACCTGAGCGTGTCATTGCTTGCCTAAATATGGCCGCACAATAACAATGCTGATTGCTTGAGAAAAAGTTAATAAAGTAGTCAACATTGTTTTTTACTAAAATACTTAATTGTCAGCTGTTTGCCACTTAATGCTAGCTTCCTCGTTATTATCAAAACCTGGTAGACTGGTGAGGTCATTGAAAGTTTAACAACAGAAGACCATCTCTAACTTACATACGACCAAGTCTTTATGAGTACCTAATCAGGTGCGATCTGAAATTGTAACCGGTAGTCAATTAACAACATTTTTATTACATTCAAATCCTACCTCTATATTCATTCAGACACTTTAGATTACGATCGGTTATTTTTTAATTTAGGCTGTACCTATTACAAAAACGATCTCCGTTGTATTATATATATTTAAACAGTTTTTACACCTTTTGTTAAGGATTCAAATTCACCATGAACTGATGACGTCATCAGCACCGTGATACAGTTCCCTTCACTTTGCCTGACCTCACTTCCTCGTGCGTGACATTAATGAGATCTTTTGTTCCTGTCCGACCTACTTCTATTGTGTATTTGCGTCTCTTTCTAACGGACAGACTTTGCTATTATGAACTATGTTTGCAGTTATTTGAACTATGCTAAACTTTTGCATTGAAATGAATTAGTCTGTCTAATTGTTTAAGAATGTAGGTACAGAATGGATAGTAGGATAAGGAATCAGTTTTTCCTCTTTATTGGATTACTACTGACTCCAAATTGTTCTTTCATTTCCAGAAGCAGTCATTATGTTACCGAGGAAAAGAAGTGCGATGCTGCTCAGCTTTGTAGTCGCGATGGTGATCCACCAGACGGAACAATATGGCTCCGGAGCTCCGTCAGGGGTAAGTCACTGGAAAATATACTATAGTGTAGTCTATCTACAATGACTATTCATTAAATAGTTACCTCTTTGGCAACTGCCAAAGAGGTTGACTGTCAATCTCACTCAACTGAGTGAGATTGACAATACAGTGTATGTATATCCGATGTAAAGCCAAAACCCATCGTAGTAGTTGTAGAAAATGGTCTTAATGCCAATCAAATAGCAGGAGCTTATTTCAGGCCTGCATAGACCAGACGCCGAGACACGAGTCCATCCCGGCGCAGTCATCGACACCTCCCTACATCATCCTAACATCGACTGCACAAGTGAGGCAGGGAGACACTCTGCAGGTGACAGTCGGCAGCCCTGCGGGGGCTCCACTACCCATCGGAGGGTTCATCTTACAGGCTCGACAGATACAGGTAAGAATTTACACTACAATCCCCAGTCACCTCAATCCATAAGGCCGGCAACGTACTGTAATCCCTCTGGTGTTATGGGTGTCCATAGGCAGCGTCGATAATTTTACGATCACGCGTTTGCCAGCTTACCCCATTAAAAACACGTATTGCATTGTAACATTTACACGCCATCATCCGCCTAAGAATCTTGTTTGGTTTAGATACTAAGTACACACAATCAACTATTCTTCGATTTTCCTCTTCCACGAAATGCGTAAATAAGCGTTATACCTATTCTGTTTTTTCTTTTTCTTTATTCTCGCGAAGCACGCGTTGGTATGTGCAACGCATTTTTGTTCCATGAGGCATCCATTCATTCCATGTCACTAACAATGAGTTCAGTATCTAGGCATACCAATTGTAGTTGCATTGACAAACCCTTCCATATGTGGTAAAGACACTTGGCCACGAGACAAGTTATGTTACCTACGTCTGACATCCTACATGAATGACATCCTCTCCCATCCTACGAAGATGACCTCTGAGTTTGTTTCGGCATTTTTTCTTAAAGTAGTCAGGAAATGTCGGCTTCATCGTTCACTCGATAAAATTGGCATGTAATAGTTCTGCCTCGTAACCTATTTAATAGTAGTGGTAACCAGAAATAAATTCACTTGTTTCACTTAAATAACATAAATGAAAAGACCACATATTGATGAATTGCATCATGAAAGCCAATACGAAATCCTTTGTTCAGGGCAATTAGAAACTGTCAATGTTATATTATAAATCTCAACCTTCTTTAAAGGCCCTCAATAGGCGATATAATGATGGTATTAACCTGTCTACTGTATTGGTGCAGTGACGACTTGACCTGCATCTGTCAATGACGCATACACGCTGTTTATAACGCATTTTGCTCCAAATTCTCGAGATACTCCAATATTACACCTAACACGTTATACCTGCCCACAACTACTCATTACGCAGCTACGATACCTTGTAACATACCGGTTGTTAGATAACACTTTGGTATGTGGGTAACAGCTACATAATAATTATGTACTTTTGTTTCTATACACCACTAGCTTCATTGAAATTAGTGTAGTCTAGTGCTTTCACAATGGTTATTCCCAAACATTTAACTTAGGTCTCTGGTACCTATACATTACCTACTGCTGACTAAAACGCGACAATACTTGGCATAGGCGTGCACCTACTATATTAAAGGGAACAACCAATATTCACTAGTAATTTTAAACGTACCAGAATTAAAATCGCAATCCCAGTTCTATGCTAATGGTCCTAGTTCCTAATGAGAAAAAAATCACAGTACCTTGATTACAAGACGCTTAAAATATACTTACACTTATGGTCTTTACTTCCAGAACCCAGACGTGATAGTAGGCAAGTTTGTAGGCGTACCAGACACAACTATGACCCACGTGACAACATGTAGCAACCCCAACGACACGGTGACACACTCCTCGCCCGAGGACAAACCTGCCATGACCTTCCAATGGCAAGCACCTACTGACTTCCTTGGAGGAATTGAATTCAGGTAAGAACTATAATATTTTCTTTAATAGTACCTTCTGCAGCTGCTATAGGTAGACCCAGTCATGAGATTTGCTGGGTTCCACTAAAAAATCAACTTTGTGTTACCGCACTTAACATAATGTCAAGGGTATGTTCATGCACATACTTGCTCAGAAATATAACTGAATTGTTTGTTGATATACGTGTTTCATTTGCCCAACAGAGCGACCGTGGCCCAAAGCTACGCTACTTTCTGGAAGAATGTGGAGTCTCCTTTAGTCGAAGTGGTGACTCCCGACACAGTAACCAGCGCCCCCGCTGCCGCTGCACCAGCCACTACTAGGGCAACGCAACCACCGCCCGTCATCATGGAGAGCAAGGTACCACTAAACCACTTTTTTTTAACATTCGCAAGTTGAATAACTTTTTAATTGCACGAATAAACTTTTGTTAAAAATCTAAATTCGAAAATAATTTACTCTGTTGCATCCCAAAAATGCGACCATTCACAACAACACCGTTGTTTTACCGATATATTGCATGCAAGCTTGTTGTCAACCCCATCTCCACTCCAATCACCACGAATAATGAACTGAACACTAAATTAAATTTCTTCATTGCAGCCCAAACAAGAAGCAGCACCCCTCGACGTGGTCTACCAGGGCTGTGCTGACACTAAACTATGCTTTGGAGTACCACAGAACTGCGTTACCAAAGGCGACTGCAAAGCTGTACTAGCAGTATTTGTTTCTGGGGACCGATACACGTTTGAACTGCAGGCCGTTGGCAACCCTAAGTATGTAGCAGCTGGTCTAAGTACTGACAACAAGATGGGTGACGATAGCGCCATGGAATGCGTGAGGAATGACAATGGGAGAGTGAGTCTCTTCACTTCGTGGACTTATTCTAAGGTTGATCCCTATGTAAGCCGTTCTGACTCGCCTCAAGAGATCGTGCAGCTTCAGGAGTCGTCTGTGATCGATGGCAAACTGTACTGCAAGTTCAGAAGAGACGTGGTGTCTGTTGTACAAGGCAAGACGTTCGACCTCGCCAACTCTATGTACAATTTGATGGTGGTCGCTGGCAGCGAGATGAAAGGTAAGCAGGTGTAGCTTAGCGTAGTTTACTTATTACATTTTAAAGGAACTGTCAGTTACATTACCATCTTCTAAATACGGTTTATAGAATATCTACAAATATCTACGACATTCTATAATTTCTACAAAAGCTAACTCCTCTATTCCAGATGCGAATCGCGTAGGTTTCCACGACTTGGCGTACGAAGCGACCGGTACTCCAATGTCGCTGGCTACCGTCGGCACCGCGGCTGCCAGCTCCAAGCTACTGCTCAAACTACACGGCAGCTTCATGTTGCTAGCTTGGCTGGGCACTGCATCGCTTGGTATACTGCTGGCTCGCTACTTCAGGCAGACTTGGGTCGGCAAGCAGCTCGGCGGCAAGGATATCTGGTTTGCTGTGAGTGAAACACAACATTTTATTAACTAGTTTTGTTCTTGCAATTTCCGTTCGTCACGTCCAGTGGTAGACATTTTATTAACATTTACTGTTTTTCATGATTCGCTCTATCAACTGTGGTCAAATTGAATGGACATTCCATTCTATATATTTTTTAGATATTGTTTTGAATTAAATCTGTAACAGATAGACGCTACAAGGATATTTTTTATTATTTACGATACGTTAATGAATTTGTTTTATGTGCGCTGCGCTAACTCCTAAATTGCTGTACCGATTTTGTTACAAATGTAAGGATTTTTTTCTGACTCCTAAATGCTACTTATAGTACCATCGTATCTTCATGGTGCTGACGTGGCTGCTGACTGTAGTCGGGTTCATTCTGATCCTGATCGAGGTGGGCGGCTGGTCCACTACTGGAGACAACCCTCACGCCATCACCGGCATCGTCACGGTTATCATGTGCTTTATCCAACCTATTGGTAAGTACCTAGTACATACATACTTAACTATCGAATTTAATCACCAATTGAAGTATTCAGTGTAACACAAATTATTATTCGTCACTTACATAATATGTTATAATTCCCATAACATTTATCTTGGCAGAAATAAATTGAAAGTTCAACTAATGACGCAGTCATGTTAAGAAGTATTTGAAGGCTCATTTTAAAATACCCCAAACACGCTTTGCCTGACCCGGATATCGAACCCGAGATCACCTGCTTAGCAATTTTACGCTACTAACTACTACTTTAATATTGAAGATTTATTGGTTTACATTACAGGTGCATACTTCAGGCCGCACCCGGGCACTAAGACCAGGCCGATCTTCAACTGGGCGCACTGGCTGCTCGGGAACTCCGCTCACATTCTGGGAAGTAAGTACAAAGCTGGGGTTGAATTATTTTGTTGTGATAACCAGCCGATCTGGAAGCCATTGAGAAAGACCTGCTTTTAATAGTGGACATCTTGTGGATGATGTGATGATGGTGATGGCGATGATGTTTTAAAATGTACTCTTCCCACGGTTATAATAGCCGAGGGACTATACGTTTAATACCGGGCAGCAGCGCTCTCTGATAAACCTTAACGTTTTAAACTGTGTTTCCAATCAGCATGACAACTTGACAAGCCTATGCCAAACTTCTTATCTGTAAACGAGATCCAATAGTCCAACAGTGGACACAACAGTATCACGAGTGCATGATGTGTAACTAATGTGGTTTATATTTGTTCCAGTCGTGACGATCTTCTTCGCGGTGTACCTGCAGAAGGCGGAGCTCCCCTCGTGGAGCGTGTACATCCTCGCTGCCTTCGTCGCCTTCCACGTCATCATGCATCTTGTGCTCACTGTTAGTACCCTACTCTGTGTAACACTTTCTCCTGGCCAGATTCTAGTGAACTACAGTAGCCTCTTCTATACTTAGGTACCTAAATAACGGTTTCGACCTCGTGCGCTTGCGAGATAAAACGCCAACTATATATAGATAGATACAGCCTCACAAACTTTCAATTTAGAACTGTCCTTGTTGTTGTAGACCTATTGTTAATATTCGTTATCTTACTTTTTGTTTCGACTTCCCCAGTTGACGGTGTGTGTATCGGACGGGCGTATTAGCAACGGACGCATCAACGCGTTCCCCATGAAGGACATGCTCGGACAGACGCGGCAGGCCACGCAGGTCGACCGCAGCACTGATGCTCCGGTGAGACATATCCACACACACAGACCAACCAACAAACATACTTAGTGCCTTTTAAAGTAGCGTGATATGATAACAGTAGAATGTATCATACATTTGTGACCATCTCTTCTCCTCCGATGTCGTACTATACGATTAAGGGATCAGATACACATCCTGAACAGAGATCACGCAGCAGTGCTCTCTACTAAATTTACCTACACCTTTGCACTTTGATTTTCAAATCCCACGGGGCTGCAAAACTGGTAAAATTTCTTTTACGTAAATTACAGAAACTCCATGAGTGGACTGCCACGTGCTCGAAACTGTGTATTAAATATGGCTTTCTCCGCGCCATAATAACATGTTACAGTCTACTTCAGTAACTTTACTAATATTCATATTTTGTTTCCAGTTCTCAAGGTTCAGACGGCTGCTCCTCGGAGTCTACACGCCCGTGGTGCTGATATTCGCGATCGCTATGGTCTGCCTAGTAGCCCTTGCCCCCATCACAGAAGTATACGACACGATCATGGGTGCTTGAATCATAGAGTAACAACCAAATGATATTGTACTAATTTTAAAATTAAAGGATGGATGTGGCTTTAAAAATATTTTAAGTTAAAACTCTTTCTGCATTGCAGGAGATGAGAAATAGTGGACCTGTTTCAATCAATCAGAAAAAAAACAGTGAATTGTTAAACTAAACATTGGATAATGATTAATAAAACTAACATTTTATTTATGACCGAGAATTGCTATTGTATTGTATAGAAGTTTAAAAAGATAAAAAAGTCTTACCCGGATTATGGACGCTTATCTATACATATAATAAAATTGTAGAAAAGTGCTGTCTGTACATTGAAATAAAAATAAAAAAAATAGCAGGGGCTATTGTTATGTCGATGTCGAACCCAAAAATGTAACTAACTTTTTTTTTGTCTGTTTGTCTGTTTGTCTGTTCACGCTAATCTCAGAAAAGGCTTATCCGAATTGCATGCGGTTTTCACGAATATATTGTGGAATGCTTCAGTTATGCTTTAGTGTTTGTTTCATGTCAATCGGTTCATAAATAAAAAAGTTACGTCAAATTAAAGAATCACGTCGAACACTATCTATCTATACATATAATAAAATTGTAGAAAAGTGCTGTCTGTACATTGAAAATAAAAATAAAAAAATAGCAGGGGCTATTCTTATGTCGATTTCGAACCCAAAAATGTAACTAACTTTTTTTTGTCTGTTTGTCTGTTTGTCTGTTCACGCTAATCTCAGAAATGGCTTATAAATATATATATATTTAACAGGGTGCGGAAAAGGTGATAGTGGTTTTATTCCTCAGATTCCTCTCATTCCAAAAAATTTTCCGTTTAATTTTAAACGAATTCAGTTTCCAGTGAGCCTATGTTTCGCCATGACAATTAATAAAGCTCAAGGTCAGACTCTAAAAGTTGTGGGTATAGATCTAAGTATCAGCTGTTTTTCGCACGGTCAATTGTATGTGGCTCTGTCCCGTGTTAGCAATCCCAGCAGCCTGTATGCTTTCACCCCCGATGGCCATACGTCTAATATTGTATATAGAGAAGCATTACAGTAAAGTAGAGAAGCATTACAGTAAAATGACTGTGATTATGATCCAAATCTAAAATAAAAATAAGTAAATATTTAAAAAAAAACGCTGCTCATAGTCACTATTCTACGCGAACGAAGTCGCGGGCACAGCTAGTTAAAGAAATAAATACTTAAGTTACCTATTCAATAAACAGATTTTGAACATTTTTTTTAACATAACAAATGAATGAATAAGATATTGACGATTCCATTCCATTTTTGGATATCCAAAAATTTTCAGGTCAGTGACAATTTTTCAAGACGAAACTTTTAAAATGCTATTTTTGTGAAATATTTTTTTACTGTTGACTCACTGTTTGTAAAATTATCATTAGGTGCAATATAGGTAGGTATGTAGTTAAAGTACATCAGAGATGACTACTCCGTCCATTGTATGATAAGGATAATTTTAGTTAGCTACATCAAACTGTTGTGTGTAATATTTAATTAATTTAATCAATCGATCTAAGATAACAATGTAAATATAGTTGGAGAAATAAATCTTTAATAATAAGGGCTATTTTGTTTTATTTATTTCGATGATTCACTTAGTTATTATCTCATTAAAACACCACACACGTGTCTCTCAGGTACCATCAGGTACCATCAGGATTTTATATTTTACTAGCAGCCTGTCCCGGCTTCGCACGCGGTAGACCATTTTTTTCAAAATGAAATGTAGGCTATGCCAAATTGGAAGAAGTATAGTAGCAAATTATTGGTGAAAGAATTTTTTAAATCGGCCCAGTACTTTTTGAGCCTATTCATTACAATCACACAAACATACAAAATAGGTACAAATCTTTCCTCTTTATAATATTAGTATACATAGATATAAATTAACTTGGAAAAAATCTCACCCCATACATATTTCACTTTGGTCTAAATAAGAGACCGAACGGCACTCATTTAGCTACAATTAGGTAAATACTTTTGAGACGTTTAATAGCTTGAATGCCCGTATATAAGATACTAGCGGCCCGTCCCGGCTTCGCACGGGGGGATTTAAGATTTTTTACATAGTTTTACGTTTTATTTATATTTATTCTCAGTTTATTATTTTTGAAATAGTAGGTAAGTACTTACCTAATAGGTATCTTCCGGATGAATTAATAGTCTTAAGGTAACCGATTGAACAATTCAAAAGTTATCTAGAGCAAACTTTTATAAGGATTTAACCATTCATTAAAACGATTGTTATGGGTAAACTATAAAAGGTAGACATATGCTCTCGCGGACTTTTTTAAAAATAATGTTAAGATGAACAATTCATCTATAGAGCATTTTTGTATAACTTTAACTATATGCTCAGCGCACGCCACGGAAGGCCTCAGAAACGATACTTTTCCCCCGTTTTTAAAACATTTTTGGTTACTGCTCCACAACTATAGGACCTAGCGTGATATTATATAGCCTATGTTACTTCTGAATAATGCAGCTTTCTAATGGTGAAAAAATTATTGCAATCGGTCCAGTAGTTTTTGAGTTTATTCATTACAAACATACAAAAATACAAAA